AGACCCCCCACTTTGCACACTTATGGGAAAGGGCTTGGGGCACCCAAGATCCCTCCCCTTTTGCACAATCATGGAGGATGGACTGGGGCACAGAAGACCCCTCCACTTTTGCACACTCATGGGGAAGGGCTTGGGGCACAGAAGATGGCTCCCCTTTTGCATAAAGGAGGGGCTTGGGGTGCACAAGACACCTCTCCTTTTGCACACTCCTTTGGGAGGGGCTTGGTGCACAGAAGACCCCAACTTTGCACACTCATGGGGAAGGGCTTGGTGCACCCAAGACCCTTCCCTTTTTGCACAATCATGGAGGATTGGCTTGGGGCACAGATGACCCCCCTCCTCTTTTACACGCTCATGGAGGATGGGCTGGGGGCACAGGAGACCCCTCCTCTTTTACACGCTCATGGGGAAGGGGCCTGGGGCACAGAAGACTCCTCCCCTTCTGCACACACATGGGGAGGGGCCTGGGGTGCAGAAGACGCCTCTTCTTTTGCACACTCATGTGAGAGGGGCTTGGGGCACAGAAGACCCCCACTTTGCACACTCATGGGGAAGGGCTTGGGACACCCAAATCCCCTCCCCTTTTGCACACTCAAGGGGAGGGGCTTGGGGCACAGAATCCCCAATCCTTTTTCAGCTCCATCCATGCAGCTCTTTCAGCCCCCCCCCCCGGGGAGCTGCTTCTGCCCTCTGTAGGCCACTGTTGGTACTGCATGCCAGCAGTCCTCGACTTACCATAATTGAGCCCATCCTTTCCGTCGCTAAGTGAGACAGTTATGTGAACTTTGCCCCATTTTACGACCTTCCTTGCCACATTTAAGTGAATTGCTGAAGCGGTTAAGTTCATAAGTGTTGTTCAGTGAATCTTTGCTCCCCCCCGTCGTTAAACGAGACAGCGGGTTCAGCGAGTCCTGCCCCGTTTTATGACTTTTCCTGCCACCGTTGTTAAAGCGAATTGTTGCAGCTGTTTGTCAGACGGTTGGTGAATGAATCCGGCTTCCCCATTGAGAAGGTCGCCAAAGGGGATCCCATGACACCCCCCTGGGACACTGCGACCGTCATAAATGTGAGTCAGTTGCCAAGCATGGTCTGAATTTGGATCACACGATCCTGGGGATGCTGCAACGGTTGCTAAGTGTGAAAAACGGTCCTAAGTCCCTTTTTTCCAGTGCTGTTATAGCTTTGAATGGCCTCTAAATAAATTGATTCAATTCAATCGGATTAGAGCGGGAAGGGACCTGGGAGGTCATCTAGTCCAACCCCCTGCTCAGGCAGGAGACCCTATACCGTTTCAGACAAATGGCTGTCCGGTCTCTTCTTGAAAACTTCCAGTGTTGGAGCGTTCACGACTTCTGGTGGCAAGCTGTTCCACTGGTTAATAGTCCTCACTGGCTCAGGAATTCTGGGAGCTGAAGTCCACAAGACATAAAAGAGCCAAGGTTCCCCGCCCCTGGTAGAGAGTCTCCTGCTTCAGCAGGGGGTTGGACTAGATGACCTCCAAGATCCCTTCCGACTCTTTGTTATTCTGCAATATTTCTATTTGGAGATGGGGCTGGGTTCTTCTAAATTCACTCCTTCTAGATTCCTGCTTTGGATTCTGGGGCAAAGAAAAATAAAAAAGCCCCCAAGGCTTGCAGATCAAAGCCGATGCCGTCTGCAAAACCAGCAGGGATTTTTAAAAAATGCCAAGGCTGCAAAACTATTTATTTATCAGATTGCAGCCCCTCCCCCCTGCCCTGAACCCTGCAAGGTAGGTGGGAGAGAGAGAGAGAGAGAGAGAGAGAGAGAGAGAGAGAGGGAGAGAGAGAGAGAGAGAGAGAGAGAGAGAGAG